CAGCAGGCTCTGTGTGCACCTGTGGACTGGGTAGGCACCTCTGCTGATCTGGGCTGGACTCTGTCACAAGTTTGGCTTCAGCTGCTTTAGGATGGCTTCAGTTGAGACAGTTGGGCTCTCCTCCAGATGGTCTCTCATCCTCCAGCCAGCCGATTTGACCTTGTTCACCTAGGGATGGAGGGATTCCAAGAGAGAGTGCAGAAGCATGCAAAACCTCTGAGGCTTGGAACTAGCACTCTGTCACTTCTGCTGCATTTTATTGGGCAAAGCAAGTCACAAGCCCAGGCTAAATTGAAGGACTGGAGAAACAGACTGCATTTTTTAAATTGATTGATCATACCAGGAAATCAAATAACCAAGTTCATAAGCCTTGATCCTAAAGCAGAAGTGAAGAGTCTTCTCTGTGAGGTGTGTTCTTCTAAATGACAATGAACTAGACTCTGCTCAGAGGCACTTTTGGTCACTTATCTTATCTATGATCTATAGTTGAAGTTGCCAAGTAAATGAAGTCTTACTCTTTGCAAGAGTCCCCACAGGGGCCCATCTGTTATTCACCCAAGCCTTACAGCATTTGACAGACTTGCAAACATCTGTACATTTTAGTTCCAAATTGTCTGGAATCTCCCTGCCTCTCCCCCGAGACTTCTCCCCACCGGGAGAGGCACTGAGCCACACCTCAGTCCCCGCAGGCCCCCCACGCTGCTGCACATGGAGAGATGGGTTGTTTCATGTTGTGCTGTACTTGCATCTGTGCTTGCCTTGTCCTTGCTGTATTACTGGGAGCCATTTGGGTGTCACAGCCAACTGCCAAATTGATTTTTTTAAATATCATTTTGTTTGCTCATTTCTGAGATTGCTGCTGCTCCCTGAAATTGGATGCTGGCTTCTCCACCTCCTGACCCTCAGTGATCATGAGATATAATTAACGAAATGAGATAAGACAGCAAGGGCCTTGATACCCTAAGGGTCTATTAAAAACATGCTGGGGTGATAGAAGTCCATAAACTTAATGTGTAGTGATAGTCTCAGGGGAGGAAAAAAAAGGGGTCAAAGATGTCATTATAACTTGGCTTTTATGTGACTCCCAGAAACCATGGGGTCCTTGCTTCTCCTTTCTCCCAGCCCATCTTAGGGGACAGAAGAAAAGATCAGAGGTAACATTTTAGCCAGGGTGACTGTATTCAGACCAAGATCTGGAATCTGTAGCACGTGGAAAAAAAGGCCATGGTACCTGGCCTGGCTTATGCTCTTCTTTCTGATGGGCTAAGTTCACCTGCATGTTCCTTCAGTCCTCCCACGTTTCTCTATCGAATGTACGCTCTCTGGGTGACCTGCAGTTAAGGAATTCTTTATATTCTCTCTCCTCCCCACCTTCTCCAGCATGAAAAAGAAATTAGATTAATGAATGAGTTAATTAAAGGGAACCAAACTTTCTTTCCTCTCTGCAGTGCTGTTCAGCTTTTTGTTTTTCTTTCTCATCAGATTCTCTTCTTGTCCCCATTCCCTTCTATGCATTATAGTTTAGAAATTGCACATAGCAGGGGAAAGGTGCAGCCGTAATTTCCAATCCACCCCCTCGTTCACATTTGGTTACCAGGTTTCCTTCTCACTTAGAGGCCCTGAATTCGTAATGAGTGACTTAGTGCATCATTACTGTATTCCTAAAGTAGGAATGGTGGTCACTGTCCCATAGTGCTTTAGATTCCATGCCTGTTTTCCCTTGAATAACGGTTTCCTGGAGCCACCAGCTATACTTCTCTGTCCCTTTTCTCTGGAGCCTGCCAGTGTCAGTATCTCTTCATCTTCTCACCCACCTGTTCTGCAAACCAAATCCCATACACGTGTCCAGTAGTCCCCCGTTATCCTCGGTTTTGCCTTCTGCAATCTGAAAATAGGTGAATACAGTACAATAAGATGTTTTGAGAGAGACAGAGAGAGATCACATCCACCTCACTTTAATTACAGTATATTGTTACAATTTTTCTATTTTATTAGTAGTTATTGTTAACCTCTTACTGTGCCTAATTTATAAGTTGAACTTTATCCTAGGTATGTATGTGAAGGAAAAAACATAGTGTATATAGGATTCAGTACTATCTGCGGTTTCAGGTGTCCTCTGGGGGTCTGGGAACGTCTGCCCCGTGGGTAGGGGGGCTGCTGTACTTCTCTTGGGACTCTTCCCAGGTGTTGCTCAGCCCTTGATGGACAGCATCTCTTCTTCCTCCAACTCACCTGTCATACCTTTCTTTCTCACATCTGTACAATTTGTAACAAAATTATGAGGTTTTTGCTGTTGTTGTTAAGGGAGAAAAGATGAAATCTAAAAATTGTTTCCAACTTTTTCAGGTGGTTGGACTAAACGCTTTCTAAACTCTCCTTCATTATTTCCTTCCTCTCCAAGTTTATCAAAGATAGACCCCAATTAGGAAGATTTTGTATTAATAACCCCTCCCCATACCATGACTGGTTAATGTAGTTAGAAACTGTGACCGCTGTCCTTAACATCTTCCTGTTTGCTATTTAATGACATTGGTACGTGCTGAATTGGGCCTGCTAAGTGACTGACTGACCACAGAGTGTACCTGACAGCCATCTGGTGATTTTTGTCACTTACTAGTAGATGGAGCAGGAGCACATGAACAAATCAGCCAGCTCCACACTTCCACCCAAGAACCAGTTCAAAGCACCCAGTAATGGTTGCTAAAGGTTGGTAGGTCAGCTTCTTCCAGTGACGTGAGAATTTGTCATTTGGAAATAAGAAAACCGTATACTAATCAGAAGGAGTCAGGGATACCGGGACAAGAATGTTCACATTTCTCAAGGAGAAACATTGTTCCTAACGGGCTTCCTCTGGATTTCCTAGATTTATTTTCTTTTCCATCTCCTCCTAATTCTGCTCCTCTGCTGACCCAGCTATCTGGGGCCATCTCTACTTACATGCTGCTATGCACTGGGCATTCTACAAAGCTCCTCACGTGCCTGCTTTGTTCTCCCTTTTGCTTTTCTTGTCCTGTCCCATGTCTTTCTGTGATCGCTGGTGTTGACTTTGGACTCCAGCAGTACTGTGTGTCAGCCGCTGCCACCTCCTTCATTGCTGCCCGGCTTCCCATTGGCATGTGTGTCCCAAGCACACTCTGTTCCTCCTGTTGTCTGGGTACCCCCGGGAAGCACAGGTTCTGAGAGAGAGGGAACCTCTCTAGCTAATTCTACAAAAGGCTGCCTCAATAAACTTGCTTTTACCTTCCCATCACCTTCATCCCCTTTTCAACTGTACTAGTAGTTTGGTTCCAAGTGAAAGAACCCCATCTTGAACCTGGTTTAGCAAAAAGAAGCAGATATTGGCTCCCAGAACACAACGAGGGCTGCAGGGCTGAACTCTGTGAAGGGCAGCAATGCCACTAAGCTCAGGAAGAGCTGGCGCTTGACAGCCCTAGAGCACATTCAGGACACCTTCCTCATCTCTGCTCCTGCTCCTCTTTCCACACCACCTCATTGTCTTTCATGGTAGACATGTGCAGGAAACATGACCACCTCCAGCCCCTGAACTTTGTGACTATGCATCTGCTGTTGCTGAAGCTAGAGAAAGAGGATGTTAACCTGCTTGGATCAGATGGTTCCTGGACAAATCAACCATGGCCAGGAGCAGGGCTTATCAATAAGTCCATAGCAGCTTCCAAAGTATCCCTGTGTACTTGTCTCCTGAGCACATCTCTCGGGAGAGGGTAGAACCATGCAGAAACCCAGAGACATCCTCTGTGCCTGCTCTCCCATTTTGGAGAACATCACACTATCCGTGATCTTTATCTGCTTCACTCAGATTCCCAAGAGACCCAGCAGGAGAGTCAACATGACCAAGTATGTTCACTATATTCCTGGGCAGCGCTTCTGTCTCCATTTGAACCTCCTTTCACACCTGAGAACTGGTGCTAGACAACCTAGAAGCAAACACAAAAGCCTTTTAATCTTTCTGCATTAAGCTTAGATCTCATCCTATGTAGCTGAGCCTTTGTTTCTTTTCTCCGTGTCCCAGCTTGGAAGCTCTAGCTCCCAAGCATAAGCCACCTCCAGCCCAGATGAGAGAGACACGAGGGCAGGAAGAAGGCAAGCAGTCCTTGCTTCCATCCCTTGTGCTGTTTCTGCACAGTGCAGTGATGTTGAGAAGCAGAAGAGAGGAGTCTCCTCCCCTCTCTGCCCAGTGTGGGGTGTTCTTTCACCTCCTCTCAGTCTTCTGCTACCCCAATTGTGGAGTTAACCCTCTCTGCCACTCTCTCTGGGAAAGATCGACCCCACCGCAGAAGAATCTAGAGAGCAGCTGAGGCAGCAGATTGCGAAAAGCCCAAGTCACTCATAGGAACCTCCAAGAAAATGCATGTTGCTATCTCCTGTCTTTTCCATGCGGTGATGATGGCAAACAGGATGGATGAGGGAGCATAGACTCGTGAACACTGGTTTTACTTAGGCTGTGACATTGGCAGTGAAATAAAACACGTTGGGGCCATTCCCAAAAAGTCCACGCAGGCCTTGTATACACCTTTATCTACTGGCACACCCTCCTCCAGGTGACTTCATTTTCTACCTTCTGCATAAATTCCTCTCAAATTACACCCGTGGCAGGCAGAATAATGGTGCCTCAAAGATGTCCACGTTCTAATCCCCAGAACCTGTGAATAGGTCATACATGGCAAAGAGAATTAAGGTTTAAGATGGAGTTATTTGCTAATCAGCTGACCTTAAAATAGGGAGATTATCTTGATTATCTGATGAGCCACTGTAATCACAAGGGTCCTTAAATGTGCAAGAGGGAGACCAAAGGGTCAGTGTCAGAGGGATGCAGCATGAGAAAGTCTCGGCCAGCCATTGCTGGCTTTGGAGATGGAAGGGGCCACAAGCCAAGGCGTGTGTGCAGCCTCCAGGGCTGGAAAAGGCAGAGAAACGCATTCTCCTCTAGAGCCTCCAGAAGGAAGCCTGTCCTGCTGACAGCTTGGTTTTAGCCCATGAAGCCTTCTGACCCTTAAAACTATAAGATAATACATTTGGGTTGTTTTAAGCTGCTGAGTATATGGTAATTTGTTACAGCCACCATTAGAAACTAATGGACCACCCCCAATCTCTCCCCTTCTCTTAGAATCTCAGAAGATCAAATTTTTCATCCTCTTCTTTGAAAAATCTACATCTCTAAGTATTTTGTGACGAAGAGTTTCTCTTATAGCTCCAAGACAGAGGTCTAATTCTGATAATTCAGTAAATTCTACATCTGCCAATTAAATACAACATTCAACATACACATGCCCATATAGTTTTACTGTTCCCTATACAAAGTCTCTACCTAACTTTATGGTAACTTAACAAAATAGATTTCCTTCTTCCAGTGCAGTAGATTTCCCTTCTGACCAATACCACCCATCACTGACACTGGCTGGCTGGCTGGTTAGCTGATCTTGCTGACTGTGCAAGATTGTCAGGAATTCCTGCAGAGAAGGTCATACTCCTGTCTCCACGTGCTGCTCCACAGTATATGCTGATGCTTGCCTGGACCCTTACCTGAGAAGGCACAGTGTGGGGCCGGGTCACAGGAACAATCCCACTCATGCTTAATGCCTGTTACAAACTCATATCTGTGGTCTTAATGTGGATGGTAACAAAATCCCACCTTGAGCTGTCAACCACACCAGCTCTCCCCCACCCCCACCCTTATTCAAGGAGACACCTGGCGCTATGAGAATATTTCAGTATAACTTGAGTCGTCACCTACCACTTCCCATTTCCTTGGTTGCTCTCTGGCCTTTTAAGAGTCCGCTGCCTCAGGCTGGTCACTGGACAGCTGCAGTATCAGGCAGTCCACGCTGCAGGCTCCTCCAAGTGCCCAAGTGCTCTCTGGATTCCCATCCCAGCCTCTCCCAAGCCTCCCCTGCCCCCTCTCACCCCAAGCGCACATTCAGGGCTCCAACTGGGGACCTATGCAGGGGAACTGGCCTGGGTGGCTGGGCCCTCCTTCTCAGGCTGGAGATATGAAAGTCTTGACAAGACACAAGCTGGGAGGGATCTGTGGAACCCCCAGCCTGTCTCACAAAAACCTAGAGAGGGAAGGGAGGAAGTTTTGTTTTTTCCATTCCTATGTTCTGCTTGAGGAAAATCTATTTTTGGCTTTAAAAATCTTCCCTCATAACTTGTAATTAGCTAGTTTACAAAGGCCTTACCTTCTGCCTGCACTGCCAAGTGGATGTATTTTATTTGAGGTACAAAGCTAGCTGAGGCTGAGACGATTGGAATGGCCAGGGCAGGCATCCTGGGGGGACACAGGGGTCCTGGCTGCGGGGAGCCCCACGGACTCTGTGTCATCTCAGATTTTGAGAATGCTGCAGATGCCCAAATGTCTCATAATCAGGAGAGCCCCCCAATATATCATTATGACTCAGGCACCCTGGAGCACCACCATGTGGCTGTCTCCCCTTGAACAAGATTTAGGTTACCTGCTGCAGGTGTGTCTTTGTGCTGATCTGAGCAAAGGAGTCAACTGGCCAAGTGTGCCCTCCAGATCCCCACTTCCAGCTTGTTCTTTCATGTTCCTGGTAGTGGGTTGAATAGCGGCCCCCCCAAAAAAGATATGTCCAAAACCTAACCCGTGGAACCTGTGGATGAGACCTCATTTGGGAAAAGAATTTTTGCAATGTAAGTTAAGAATCTCAAGATATCATCATCATGGATTATCCGGATGGGCCCTAAATCCAATGACAAGTGTCCTTATAAGAGAAAGAAGACACAGACACAGAAGAGAAGGTCATGTGAAGATAAAAACAGAGACTGGGGTGATGCAGCCACAAGCCAAGGACTGCCTGGAACCACCTGAAGCTGGAAGAAGCGAGGAAGGATTCTTCCCTGGAGGCTTCGAGGGAGCACAGCCCTGCAGTACCTTTATTTCAGATTTCTGGCCTCCACAACTGAGAATGAACTTCTGTTGTTTTAAGCCATGAGGTTTGTGGTCATTTGTTACAGCAGTCCTAGGGAACATTCCTCAGTATGCAACCAGGAAGAATGAAATTCACCCACATGGCAAAGGGGTGGCTTCCTATCGTGGCACCACCTTGGAGCCTGACCTTCCCCCCCCTCCCCCGCAGTGGTTTCTTAGGGCTCTCGTGCCCATTCATTCTGCCTGAGATGCTGTAAAGCTCTTATTAATGAAGACTTGCCAGGCAAGATGTGTAGCTTGTAGGAGGATTACAGGACAGATGATGTGCCTCTACTGTGCATGGTGATTTCAATCATATATTTTATATTTGTAGAGAATTTTCAAGATTCTTTAGAGATGCTTTTTCTTTCTTTTTTTTCTTTTTTTAAATCACTATGGTCCTGAGTACTCAACAAGGCTATTTCATAACATGGTGAATTTGACAAAGATCGATGACTCGATGGAGAACGAAAACCAAGGCTTTTCAACTTGGGCCACGGCTCCCTCTACGCCACTGGGATAGTCTACACCTAGAAAAGAGAGGAAGCTTTGAAGTTATTAAAACCAAAATTATCAGAGACTCCTTCATTTTGATTTGATGAATAAAAAGTCCTGTGTCTTGAGTCCCTCAGAACATTGAGGAATAAGATGTGGTTCTTGACAAACTTTGACATGAATATGAGTTACCTGGGGAATCTTATTAAAATTCAGATTCTGGCTCAGCGTGTCTGGGGCAGGGCCTGAGATTCTGCATTTCTAACAGGCTCCCAGGTGAGGCCTGTGCTGCTGGTCCACGGGTCACACTTTGAGTAGCAATGAAAGGGAACCTCTGACTAATTTCTTTACATTTCAGCATTAAGCTAATTGGTCATGGTGCCCTTTGCAATTCAGTAGGAGGAACCGCAGCTCTGGCTTTACCAGTTGTGGAGAAAATTGTTGACACTCAGGCTGGCAATGCTTAAGGAAAATTTTATTGTGGGTTGCTTTGGAGGAGAGGGGTTCTAGTTTCTGTGACCCACCTTGGGTAAGAGGAATTCTGGTTTCTATGACTCACTTCTGGGGGAAGAAGAGGGGTGGGAGACAGGAGAACAGACATAAAAATATTCGTACCTTTTAGCCAAAAAATTCCACTTATGGATGTGAGTTCTAAATAAATAACCCAGAGGAAGATGGGAAAAACCTGCATGAACAATGGTGTCCCACTACAGCACTATGTACACTAAAAAAAAAAAATTAAAAGTCTATGTCTAACATAAAGGGGATGATTAAGAAGACTATAATAAATTCACTCAAGACAATATTGTAGACATGTGTTTATCTTCTCTCTTTCCCCCAAAGCAACATGTCACTAAAGGAATAAAAATGGTATGAACTCAAAAGTTCATGTAATTAGCAGATTAATGGTTTCAACAAATTTTTCTGAGATAAAAAGTCTATGGAATAGGGGCACATAACTGCAGGCCCCCATTTCTCTATTTGTAATGTTTTAACTTTTTAATTGGGTAGTGAAATACAATGGTGATTTCTTACAATTTTGATACCTTTCTGTATGGCTAAAATATTTCAAAGGTTAATAAAAAAGAAGACAGTAGATGGGGACAGAGTGAAGAACGTTATAACCTACGTGTTGGGGCAGAAGTATTGTAACGAAGTGAGCCAGGGTGCCCAACAAAATCGGGCCTTGGCTCTTGAAGAGACCAGGGCCCTGGAAGGCACGAATGAGTTCGAGCGCTAACAGCAGAAGAAGGGGTCAAGCCTAGCTCGGGAGACTCTGGATCCCTGGATCCCCTGCCCCACCAGGAAATGCTCGCCCTGCTCACCACCACTGTAAAGGAGGAACGGTTAGTTTATTCTCCCAAGAAATTGAGCCACGTAAGCTCACAGCTTGGGCGTATCAGACATCATAAGGGGCCAGTTGAAAACAAGAGAATGAATGGCAGCTCTACATACTGAACTGCGGGACCTTCAAGGGTGGAAAGGCGTGATTCCTTTCCTCTTCCATCCTAAGGGTCACAGCCAACACTCCTGTAATAAAGGACAGGTTAACAAGAGAAAAGCACAACGAATTTATTTAATCAAAGGTTTACATGACATGGACACCTTCAGAAAAATAGACCCTGAGACCCAGGGGAAACTGTCTGTTTTTCTGCTTAGATTCCATGAAGAATGCATAGCTGTGCAGAAATGGGAAGGGACCGAAGGGTAGGATCTAATGGTGATAGACGGAGGGGGAAACCCAGCAAGGCCTGTCTGTTCAGATTCTTCTTGGGCTCTCTGTGTAGCATTCCTTCCTCCAGGGCATAGGGTAGGACCCCTCTGGAATGAGAGTTTTCAAAGGAAAGGGAGGGAGTGACCTTTCTACATTTTATGACTAGCTTTGGGGGAGAGGGGTTTTAGTTTCTATGACCCACCTTGGGTAAGAGGAATTCTGGTTTCTTTGACTCACTTCTGGGGGAAGAAGTGGGGTGGAAGACAGGAGAACAGGAGAAGATCTGAAAAACTTTGCTTCTGAGACACTTCCAATCTCTTTTCGTTCAAAGTACTCAGTGTGCCAAGGTGCTGTACTTTGGGGTATTATGTTCCAAGCCCCAAGAGACCCTTCACCCCTCCCCTGCCTTACTGCCAGGCCTCCAGTAGCCAGACATATGAAGGTGCTTCAAAGATTTCACGAAAAAATAGAATTGAAAGGTAATACAAATCTCTTTTTGATGACCCCTCATATATACCCACAGGCAAGAAACTGTCAAACTACTACAGGTGGGCCAGATCTACTCCATTCTGGTTTCACAAATAAAGTTTTATTGGACCCCAGTCACGCACATTTGTTTATGAATTGTCTATGGCTGCTTTTGTGCTACAACGGCAGAGCTGAGTAGTTGCAACAGATATCATCTGGCCCACAAAGCCTAAAATATTTACTCTCTGGGCTTGCAGGAAAAGCTTGTTGACCCTTGCTCTAGAGAAAAACGGATGTCCCCATAGGAAAGATTTCAGATCCCTCATTTGGAGCCTTAGCGAAAAGACTGGCAAGCTGCCCCACAACGCAATGATGAAGCCCTGTCCCCAAGCACAATGAGCCTCCAAGCAGGTTTTAGAATCTCTCTCTTAAGCATAAATGGATGTCCAAAGATTTTCCAGACGCTCAGGGAAAACTGCAAAGTAAAAGAGAATGATCTACATAAACAAATACAAGAAAAGAACTTGGAGGAACCAGAAACAATTCAACAAACAGAAGAAACGTACAACAGAAAGATAGAATTAATATCCTCTAAGATATGAGAAGATATTTCATCCATAAAATGAGAACTGGATACTGTGATAAACAAGAGTGAAAAGAAAGTGACTTTCCAAGTTTAAAAACTAAATAAATAGAAAGGTCCAAAGACAGTCAAACAAAAAGAAAAGGAAGGGGAAAATGGGAGGTAAAATTAGATTAACAACTCAGGATGTCCAATATTTAACTTAAAAAAATTACAGAACAAGAAAACAGAGGAAATGAAGTGTATGAAATTAGCAAAGAAATAATATAGAATTTCTGGGAAATATTTTTTTTATCTATTTCACATTGTACCCAGCACAGTGAATAAGAACAACCAAGAGTCATCATGAAATTTCAGAGAACTGGGGCCGGCCCGGTGGCGCACTGGATAGTGCGCCGCTTGGGAAGCGCGTTGGCGCTCCCGCCCGAGGGTTCGGATCCCACATACAGACCGGTTCCCGCTCACTGGCTGAGCGAGGCACGGGAGCGACGCCGAGGGTTGCAGTCCCATTGCCGGTCCCCGGTCCGGTGCGGGGGCGACGCTGAGGGTTGCGATCCGTTGCCGGACATGGAAAAAGACAAAAAAGACAAAAAAAAAAAAAAAAAAAGAAATTT